GCGGCGCGAAGCCCGCGGCGGGCAGCTTGCACGCCGCCATCAGGAGCTTCGCGTCGCGCGCGCGCTCGCCCACGGGGCTGCCGGGCGCGCCGCCGCCGTTGACGAGGCCGCCGAGGTCCGTGTCGCTCACGACGCGCGCGAGGCCCTCGGCGGCCTCGGCGAGCGCTGGGAAGCGCCGGGCCTGGGAGGTCGGGGGCGGCGGCGGCGGGCCGTTCTCCCAAAAGTCCTCGCTCTCGAGCTCCTCGGACGTCGACGCCGCGCCGTAGCGCCGCATCTCCATCGTCGCCACGGGCTCGCCCATCGCGGACCGCGGACCGCGGGACGGGGCCCGGGCAGCGTCGATGTCGATTACAATGACAAACACACTCAAACACAACACACGTCAACGTTGACGGCGACGTGAAGAGGGCAGCATGGCAATGCACCATGGTCTCGCCGTGCGCGCGACGCGATGGCTCTCGCTGGCAGCGCTCTTCTGCGCCGTCGGCGCCGACCAGTTCGACCGCGCGGCGGCTGACGAGTCGCACCGGTCCCTGCGCGCCGCGGCGTCGAGGGACCAGTTCGATCGGTTGAGATTGCAGCATCCCGGCCTGCGCCGCGCCAAGCCGCGCACGCGCAGCGCCCACGGCATGAGCCCCGAGGCGGCGCTGGAGCTGAGGTCGAAGCCGACGCCGCGCGCGACCGTGGACCGGCGCGTCGCGCTCGGCAATTCCACGATGCCGGCCGTCCTCTACGGCACCGCCTGGAAGAAGGCGAAGACCGCGGGCCTCGTCTTCGCCGCCGTCAAGGTCGGCTTCGCGGGCATCGACACGGCGACGGCGAAGAAGCACTACAACGAGGCCGGCGTGGGCGACGGGCTCGCGGCCGCGGCCGAAACCGTGTGGACGCAGTCCAAGTTCACGTACCCGCGCGGCCACGACCCCGGCGAGGCGCCCTGGGGCGACGCGACGGACCCCGCGGAGCGCGTCGCGCGGAGCGTGCGGGCGGCGCTGGCGAACCTGAAGGTGAGCAAGCTCGACGCGTTCCTGCTGCACGGGCCGTCGACTGAGGCGCGCCGGTCCGGGAAAATGACGGAGGAGGACTTCGCGACGTGGGCGGCGATCGCCCGGGCGAAGCGCGACGGCCTCGTGGGCGCCATCGGCGTGTCCAACGTCGACGCGACCCTGCTGCGCCAGTTCCTCGCGCTTCCGGATCCGCCGCAGATCGTCCAGAACCGCTGCTTCGCGAGCTCGGGCTGGGACTACGAGATCCGCGGGATCTGCCGCGAGCACCGCGTCGTCTACGAAGGCTTCTCGCTCCTGACGGCGAACCGCGACATCACGGCCGGCGGCGGCCCCGTCGCGGCCGCGGCCGCGCGCCTCGGCAAGACGCGGCAGCAGGTCGTCTTCCGGTTCGCGCTGGAGGTCGGCATGGTCCCGCTGACGGGCACGACGGACGAACGGCACATGGCCGAGGACCTCGGCGTCTTCGATTTCGAGCTGACGGGGGACGAGGTGGCGGCGATCGAGGGCGCGGGCGTTTTGTAATTTTTGGTGGATGTCATTCGTGTGCGTTTTCAAAAAAAGGAAGTGCTCACTGCGGGGCTCGAACCCGCGACCGTCGGCACATACGCGGCGGACCAGATTTCTGATCCTAGACCGATACTCTGACCAACTGAGCTAAGCGAGCAAACGCGGGCGGTGTGGAGCGATCGAGATCGAACCTCCAACATCAAAAAACAACATCGGCGCACTCGACCGGCTTCGCAAAATCGCGAGCGGCGAAGTCGCTAGCCACTAATGAGAGCGTGAGAGCGAAGCACGCTTCGTCAAGTTTACACGACCTAAGCTGCTCTCGCTTTCAGTCCTCACGCCTCAAGAGGGTGTCGCCGGTGGCCGTCGTGATGATGGAGAAAGTGCTCGTGGCTTTTGGCGCATGGGCCGGGACGCACGCCCTGCAAAATCTCTTCGCCAAATCAAAGAACGCGTCGGAGGGGCTCATCACGCCCGCGGAGGCGGACGTCTGCTGAAAACCCCGACGGAGTCGAGACGCGAGCGCAGCTCGGCCGAAGACGTCGGCCGACGCGACGCCGTACCTTCTCCTGTCGAACGTCGTGAATTAGCCGACGCTCCGCGCGCGCGCCGAACGTCTCTGCGCCGGAAGCACGCGACGCTCGACCTGCTCGCGCCGCGCGCATACACCATAGACACCTGCCGCCGACGCCCTGGGAACACAATGACGGTCGCGCGACGCGAAATCACTCGCCGTCGCCGACTCGACGCCCGAGGGATTCGCGGCCGCGGCGCGAGCGCGCCCGACGATCCAGATCCCGCCGTCCCATCCGTCGCAGTATCGTTACATTCATTTTAGTGTGCGTGTGCGGTTGGAGCAGCTCGTTCGTTCGCCCCCGCGGGATCTCGAGAGCCCGCGCCGAGAAGACGCGACGTCGCGAAAGTAGCACAGCCTATTATCGTGCAGCAGCAGTCGGCGGATCGAGGCCTGCCTACACGGAGGGGGGATCTAGGCCGGCGCCGCCGGGTCGCGGGTGGTAGTATCGAGCATCTCTCCGGACAGGTCTCAAGAACGCCTTCAAGAGCACCAGCCAAAAGTCCACAGGCAAAGCCACAGCCTTCGTCCAAGACCTACGACCGCTGTGTCGACGCCATCCAACGCTGCGTCTCTCACGCCGGCCTGCACGAATCGATCGCTAGCATGGGCGCCGCGAGCTCGACGAGCTCGAGAGAAACGACGAGTTGGAGCTGCATTGGCGCCAACCCTTTCGCCGCTCTTTTTGCCGAAGTACCGAAGGCGGACGTCTCGGAGACGAAACCGCCAGCGCCAGAGGCCGACGAGTGCAGCGACCGAGGTGGCTCGTAACGTCGAGACGTCAGAACGTCTCGGCTACGGCCGTCGCGCGCCGCGAGACCGCCGAGACTCGCGCGCCGAATCTCCGCGCGATGCGTCTCTCTGCGCCGGGATTGCACCTGTATGGATGTCCACGCCGCGCGGATGCCTCGCAACAACACACCCTATACCGTTGAATCCCTGGGAACACCATGACGGTCGCGCGACGCGAAATCACTCGCCGACTCGACGCCCCACGGATTCGCGGCCGCGGCGCGCACGCGTCCCGCACCCTAGCCCCGACAAGCGCGCCGCACGGTCAATTCAAAACATCTCCCCGCCTTATAAACGTGATGTGATACATTGAGACCGCTCTTTAGTGTGGCCAACTACGAGGAACGCCTCTTAGCAAAGCCCGTCGTGCAGCAGGAGCCGCCGGATCGCCCCGACGACGGGCGCCGCCGCGAGGTCCAGGCCCGGGTCGCGGGCCTTGGCCTCGAGGAGCTCGTCGAGGCGGTCCCGGAGCGCGGCGACGAGCGCGGCGACGCGCGCGTTCGCGGAGAACGTGATCCAGCCGTCGACGGCGATGGTGCCGTCGAGGGGCCGCGGCTCGAGCGCGCCGCCGAAGAGGAGGAGCGCGTAGGGCGCGGCCTCGGACGCGTCGCGGACGTAGATCTTGTGCGTGTCGACGCACTCGTTGTAGACGGCCCAGGGCGACGGCCACGACCGCTCCGCGAAGCACGCGCTCGACGGGTGGAGGAAGACGCGCTCGACGTGGCCCGTCGCCGGCGCCCGCCGGAGGAACTTGAGCTCGCGCGCGCGCGCGTCGACGGCGACGGCGCCCTCGGCGCTGTCCGCGTACCTGCGCGTCGCTCCGTCGCGCGCGCGCGGCGTTCGACCGTCGAGGAACGGACCCGCTCGCGTTCGACGCGGGCCGCGCGCCGCTGGCTCGGCTTCTCGATCTTCAGCACCTGCGGGTAGAGCGCCGCGGCGACCAAGGCGCGCGCGACGCGCCAGAGCGCCGCGCCCGCGAGCGGCGCGGCTCCGGCGGCGGCGAAGCCCCGGTCCGCGAGGGCGTCGTCGAACTGGCGCCGGAGCTGTTCCATGTCGTTGAGCGGGTCGTAGGCGAGCCCCTTCTCGTGGAGTAAAGGCCCCAGGGCCCGCTTCCGCTGCCAGGGCCCCCGCGGCGCGGCGGAGGCGTCGCGCGCGAACTCGTCGAACGCGAGCGCGACGAGCGCGTGGTCGCTCCGGCCGCACGCGTGCGTTTCCCGCAGTCGCCGCTTCGTCGCGGCGGCGCTGGCCCGGTCCGCCTCGCCGCTCTTCCAGGGCGACCGCACGCTCAGCCCCGCGGCGATGCTCAGCGCCTCGCGGCGGCAGCCGAGCGTCGCGCCCAGCACCAGAAGCTTCCCGAGCCGCGCGGCGCACGGCAGGGCCGCGAGGTGCCCCCCGAGCGCGCTGAGCGTCGGCGCGTCCGCGGCGGCGTCCAGCGCGCCCATGGACCGCAGGCCGTCGACGCTCGACGCGAGCGCGGGCCGCGCCGGCGGGTCGAGCAGCGTCGCCCCGAACGCAAAGGGGTCGAGCCCCATGGCCAGCACCTGGAGCGCCAGGTTCTCCAGGCTCACGCGCTTGATCTCCGGCGTCGAGTGCGCCGGCCGCGCCTCGAAGGCGCGCCGCGTCGCGAGGCGGTAGCAGCAGCCCGCGCGCACGCGGCCCGCGCGGCCCTTGCGCTGGTCCGCGGCGTCGCGGGCGATCCACACCTCTTTCAGGCACGGTAGGTTCCGCTCCGGGTCGAAGCCCGTCTCCTTGGCGACCAACGCGTCGACGACGGCCGTCACGTCGGGTATCGTGATGGACGTCTCCGCGACGTTCGTGCTGACGACGACCTTGACCTTGCCCGCGGGCGCGGTCTTGAACGCGTCCTTCTGCTGCTGCGACGTGAGGGACCCGTGGAGCGGCACGCCCCAGATCCAGGCCTCGCGCTCCAGACCGCGCAGCACGGCGGAGATGTCGAAGGCGCCGGCGACGAAGACTAGAACCGCGCCGTCGCCCTTCTTCCGCTCGTCGGCGGCGACGGCCGCGGCCGCCGCGGCGACCAGCGCGTGGTCCAGGCGCCCCGGCTCGTCCGCCGCGCCCTGCTTCGCCGGCTTCTCCAGGACGTCCGCGTCGCGGCCGAGCAGACCGTAGACCGCGTCGAGGTAGCGCACGTCGACGGGGAACGCGAAGCCCGGGATCGACACGACGGGGCACGCGCCGCGGTCGTAGGCCCGCGCGCTCGCGCCGTTGCGCAGGTCGCCGTAGTAGGCCGCGAAGCGGCTCGTGTCCATGGTCGCCGACATGAGGATGACCCGCAGGTCCGGCCGCGCGCGCAACGCGGGCCGCAGCAGCGCGAGGAGCAGGTCCGCGTCCAGGTGCCGCTCGTGGACCTCGTCGACGACGACGTGCGTCACGTTTTCCAGCGACCCGTCGACCTTGAGCCGCTGCAGTAGGACGCCCGTCGTGCAGAAGAGCGCCTGGGTCTCGTCGCCTAAACGCGCCTCGCCGCGCACGGCGACGCCTATTGTCCGGCCGACGTCCTCGCCGCGCTCGTCGGCGACGCGCGCGGACACGCCGACGGCCGCGAGGCGCCGCGGCTGGGCGACGACGACCTTGGCGCCGACGCCCCGGGCCCGCGCGTCGTCGAGGAGGAACTGGGGGACCTGCGTCGTCTTGCCGCAGCCCGTGCCGCCCTCGATCAAAAGCACCTGGAACTCGCGCAGGAGCCCCAATATCTCGTCGCGCGCGGCCGCCGCGGGCAGCTTCTCGCGCTGGAGCCGCACGAGCGTCGACGGCCGGCCCGCCGCCGGCGCCGCGGCGCTCGCCCGGTCCCACCAGCCGCCGCCGCGGCGCCGCCGCGCGGGCGCCGCGGCCGCGGCGCGCCGCGGCGCCGCCGCGGGCGCCGCGGCCCGGGGCGCCGGCGCCGGCCGCGCGTCGGCCGCGGGCGTCGTCTTCGCGAGGGCGAGCTCCGCGAGGTCGTAGAGCGACGCGCCGTCGAGCGCGCAGCGCGCGAGCGCCGCGTGCTCCGCGGGAGACTTGCCCGCCGCGAGCGCGACGGCGGCCGCGGCCGGGTAGGCCCGGGGCACGAGGACGTGGACGCCCCCGGGCAGGTCGACGCGGTCGCCCGATTCGCCGGACACGACGGCCGCGCCGTCGTAGGTCGCCTCGAGCGCCGCGATCTCGTCGGCCCGCGCGTCCGCGTCGTCGCTCGCCGCGTCGCCGGACAGCGCCGCGGCCGGGTCCCCCGGTTGCGCCGCCGTCAGCCAGAGGTCCCCGAAGGCCGCGTCGAGATCGAAGGCGAGGGCCGGCGCCCTGGCGGGGCCCTCGAAGACGACGACGTCGAGGTTCGCGCCCGAGGGGTCGAACGTCGCGGGCAGCTCGTCCTCGCCGAGGCGCAGCACGAGCCAGGACAGGGCCGCCTCGGCGCGCGCGACGGCCGTGTCCCCGGCCGACTGCTCGACGGCGTCGGCGACCCGGTGCGGCGCGAAGCCGAGGCCGACCAAGATGGAGCGCGGCGTCGCGCGCGTCCGGGCCAAAGTCGCCGATGCGGTCGAGGCCGCCGCCCGGCCGCTCCGGCGGCGCCTCGAGGTCCAGGAGCGCGCAGACGTCGCGGCGCACGGCGGGCGCCATGTAGACCTTGGCGTCCGGGTTCGCGCGCTCGCGCGCCTCGCGCGCGTTCCGCTTCTTGTTCCGCTCCGCGTCGCGCTCGCGGCGCGCGCGGTCCGCCTCGGCGCGGCTCGCGTACCTGGCGTCGGCCGTCGGCGCGACGGCGGCCGGCGGCGCGACGGCGGCCGGCGGCGCCGCGGCGTCCGGCGCGTCGCGCGGCCGCGCGCCGGCCTTGGCTTTCGGCGGCGCCGCGGTCAGCGCGAGCCACGCGGCCCGGTAGGGCTCCGGCAGCTTGCGCTCCAGGGGCAGCTCGGGCTGCGTGTGGTGCAAGGCGAGGAGCGCCGCCTGCTCCTTGGCGCCGGCCTCCGTGGGGAAGTGCTGCACGGGCACGAATCCTAAATCGTGCTCCGACCCGGGCTTCTTTTTGTCGGGCACGACGACGCGGAGCCGGTAGCCCGACACTTTCGCCGCGCCGGGCTTGGGCCGCGCCGGGTGCCAGCGCGGCTTGGGCCGCTTCTCGCGCTGGCACCACTCGCCCAGCAGCTGGCTCGGCAGCCTCTGCCACGTCTCGATCGACACGCCCTTCACCTCCTTGGGCCCGCTGTCCGTGAGCTTCGCGGCGACGCGCGACTCCTTGGCGCCGCGCCCGACCCACTTCTGCGACTCCGGGTCCCACTTGTGGCCGTGCGACGGCCGCTCGGGCCGCACGCCGCACTCGCAGCGCCGCTCGCAGACGCAGCGCGGCGCCACGGGCTCGCACTTGCCCTTCTTGCCCTTCTTGTCCTTGGGCTGCGCCGGCGTCTTGTCGCGGCCCATGGTCCGAGTCGTGCAGCAAGGGTGGTGCGCCTAGCCGCGGCCGGGTCGGGTCTGGCAGTCGCCCATCACACTTGTGACGAGCTTCGAACTATGTTGCCGTCAAGAAGCCGTGTTGCTTCCCCTTAATTGAGAGGTGTTGAGGTTGGCGAAGTCCGCACGCGTCGGCGCTGGGTGCTGGCATGCAAAGGGACCTCGGCTTCGGAGGAACCATACATGTGTGAGCCGAGGGGTCGTGAGAGAGAGGTCCCTTAGCCCGCGGGGCGACGCGCCGTCCTCACATGAGGGCCGTGGAGGCGAGGGACTGGGACTTCTTGAACTCGCGCATCTCGAGGTTCTTCTCCTTGGCGTAGTTCTCGTAGCCCGGGTAGTCGAGGTAGACGACGGAGTCGTCCTTGTCGAAGATGGTGACGTCGGGCGCGTTGTCGTCGGCGTTGTCGGGCCCGTCCTCGTCGACCTCGATGACGTCGTCGATCTGCTGCTTGATGAGCTTGTCCTCCGTGAAGTTCTGGCGGTCGATCTGGATCTGGACGTCCGCGGGGATGTCGTCGATGACGATGGCGAGGATGAGCTTGAAGACGATGAGCGCGTGGTAGAGCATGATGAAGACGACGAGGCGGTGCGAGTTCGGGTAGAAGTCGAGGAACTCGCCCGTGTAGACGATGATGATGGAGTTGGTGAAGACGGCGATGTAGGACATGAGCTCGATGATGTCGGCCCAGGAGCCGATGTCCTCGGCGTTGCTCGGCCACGGCCGCCGGGACCGGATGGAGATCTTCCACGCGTCCGCGCGGATCTGCGCGTAGGAGTTGACGAGGGCCATGAGCGGCGCGAGGGGGAAGGCCGCCACGAAGAGCACGGTGTAGCCGTAGATGATGATGAGGTCGCGGTAGTCGCCGAACGTGCCCATCATGACGTGGTACTCCTCGAGCGCGAGCTCGCGCTCCGCGGGCGACACCTCGCGGACGACGCGCTCCTCCTCGTGCTGCTCGCCGAGCATCTCCTCGGAGGCCTCCTTCTCCTCCGCGTCGGCCGCCGCGGCCATCTCGTCGAGGTCGCGGCGCCGCTTCTCCGCGATCTGCTCCCAGTTCCAGAAGACGTAGGGCACGGCGATGTCCTTGACGTTCGCGATGATGACCTTCGATAAAAAGATGGCCGCGAGCTGGATGCGCAGCTCGTTCATGCAGGACGTCACGCAGGAGTAGTTGCCCGGCCGCACGGGCTGGAACGTGATGGAGTTGGCCTGGAGCTGCTTGAAGAACGCGATGTAGAGGTAGGACGTGAACGAGTTGATGAACTGGAAGATGAAGATCTTCTCCGTGAGCTTGTCCGTGTAGGTCGTGTCCGTGCGGTGGCACTCGTAGTCGTTGAGCCAGACCGCGAGCTCGTTGAAGAACGACTCGAGCGCGAAGATCTGCACCGCGTTCGCGCCGGACGTGATCCAGCCGGCCATGGACGCGGACAGGTCCACGGCGAGCTTCGGGATGCCCCAGTTCTTGACGCAGTCGCGGCCCCGCCCGTGGTCGCAGTTCCAGTGCCGCGTGTTCAGCAGGTTGTTCTTCACGGCGAGGATGGACTTGAGGAAGAAGATGCCGACGACGGCGCAGATGACGGACGTCGACGACGTGAGGATGATGGCCCAGGACGTGAGCGTGCGCTGGTTGTAGATCGCCGGCGGGAAGTACTTGACCTCCTCGCCGTCGATGGGCGAGTTGATGTCCACGACGAGGTCCGAGTCGTAGAACGCGGGCCGCTCCTCCTCGGCCTCCTCGATGCCGACCATGCCCCACATCATCGCGTAGCGGCTCTGCTTGCGCTTCCAGAACTCGATGAAGAACGTCGCCCACAAACTCATGAAGACGCAGAAGCCCGGGATCGCCGGCGAGTTCGGGTCCTGGACGATGGTGACGATGTAGAACGCGAAGCCGACGACCGCCGCGATGATCACCGCCGTCGTGTAGTGGCCCAAAAACACGAAGTAGAGGCCCACCTTCTCGCCGTAGTAGTCCTTGATGCGCACGAAGGGCTGCTCCCAGGGCCAGGCCCAATACACGAGCCACTTGGCCTGGAGCTGGCCGTTCTCGTTGGGGTCGTGGAGCGGGTACGCGGCCTCGATGATCTCGTTGTCGACGAGCTGCTCGAGCACCAAATTCGCGCCGTTGTCCGACGACGGGAACTTGATGATGGACATGATGAGCTTGACGCGGTCCACGGACCGGAAGATGGACGACGACCGCGGGTAGCGGTGGTAGAGCGTCTCGAGCTCCTCGCGGTCGTCGTACTGGCCGTACATGTACTCGTAGTACGCGTAGGGGCACTGCTCCTCCGTGTCGAAGATGGCCGTGTGCATGGGGATGCCCCGGTAGAGCCAGCCCTCCTTGCGCGGGTAGATCTGCCACTCCTCCGGGTTCAGCGGGTCCGGCAACCCGTCGATGAGGCGCCGCTTCACCTCGTTCTCCGCGAGGCGCAGCCGCAAATCGAGCCGGTCCGCCTGCTCCATGAGCCGCTCCGCGGACGCGCGGACCTTGATGAAGATCTTGTCGAACTTGCGCGACTTGTACTGCTCCGTCTCCAGGTCCGCGTTCGTCAGCGCGGAGACGATGCGGAGCATCGTGTTCTTGCGCTGCATCGCGCCCTTGATCTCGTGGTCCTCGTTCTTGACGGACGTGACGATCACGAAGTCGTAGTTCCAGTTCTGGCCCGCCTCGACGCTCTGGAACTTGTCGCGCACGCGCCGGTACTCCGGCAGGTCCGAGATCTCGATGGCCGCCATGTCCAGGAGGAGCTTGAGCATGAACATGACGAAGATGATGGACCCGAACGTCACGGCCATGCCGCTGAGCACCTCCGAGAACGACTGGCTGAAGTACTGCACTCTTAAGAACTCCTCGATGGTCGGCGCGAAGGTCACCGTAGGCGCGTCCGTCGGCGCGAAGGTCTGGCTCGGCGCCGGCGTGATCGACGGCGGTCGGCTGAGCGACGGCACGGGCGTCGGCCGCCGCGTCTTCGGCCCGCCGCCCTCGTCCGCCGTCGCCAGGGTTCGCGCGTCCGCCGCCTCGAGGAAGCGGCCGCCGTCGTCGGCCCACCAGGGCTGGCCGCGCACGAAGGCCGACGCCTCGGCGTAGAGCGCCTCGGCCGCGTGCTCGGGACCGTTCATGAACCCGGCGCCGAGGTTGAGGCGCGGCCGGTGCGGGACCAGGAAGTGGCCGACGCACGCGACGAGCGGGATGCCCCAGACCACCGCGTAGCAGGTCTTCCGGAGCCAGGCGGGCGCGCCGCGGTACGTGAACTCGCTCGGGAGCCGCCGCCGGTCCCGGAGGCCCGCGCGCGGCTTCCCCGGCGGCTTGCGGCCCATGGTCAAGAGTGCGGCGCGCCCGGCGCCGCTGCTGCCGCGCCCGGGCGCGCGGCGCCGCGCCGATGAACGATGGAAGGCCTGGGTGGGCGCTTATGAGTGCAAAGCTCCCCGCTCCATTGGCAAAATTGTGACACAAGCACAAGCCAAGGCCGGGGCAGCCCGGATTTTTCCTTCATTGAACCTGAATTGCCTTTTCGGATAGCATCGACTGCGTCTCCCCTATCGCGTCCTACGGCGGCGGTGGCGCGTGGGTTCTGCGCTTCTTCCACGGTGCCGCTCCGCGGGCGACGCCGTCATGGTCCTCCTCGCGTTCGTCGTCACGCTCTCCTGCATTTTCTGTTTCCAATTAAAAATCCTACGACGCAGTCGGTCGTGGTGAGCGCGGACCGCCGCGAGAGAGTGTTGAAATGGTCACCATGTTTTGGAACTCGTCGGACGCGGCGATATTTTCTCTCTCCGCGTGTGGAAACACTCCCGCCGTCGAGCGCGCCGCGCGCGGTTCGCCGCGACGGCGGGCGGGCGCCGAACCGGCCGTCGCGGCGCGAGCCCGGCCGTTCGGGCGCCTTCTTATGCGCGCAGCACCGCGGGCGCGGCGCCGGCGGTGGCCCCGGGGCAGCGTGAGCCGCGACGGACCGGACTTGAGGGCTGCGAGCCGCGCGCCGCGGGCTTTTGGTTGAACTGAATTGAAGGTCAACGAGCACGCCCGCCGCTCGGCCGCCGCTGGGCCGCGATGCAGATGCGGCAAGCGCTGGTCCTGCTCCTCGCGGCGGCGCGCGCCGGCGCCTTCGTCGCGCCGCGCGGTCCGCGATCCCCACACCTGCGCGTCGCCTCGAGCCGGAACCCGGTGCCGCCCGAGGACAAGGACGACCGGCCGCCGTCCATCGACCCCTACGCCCTGCCCGACGCGTCGACGCCCGGCGGCATCGCGGCGCTGCTCGAGGTGACGTTCGTGCGCGCGTGCATGCAGCTGTCGTCGGGCTACGTGGACACGCTCAAGCTCTTCATCGCGGCTGCCTTCGCCGCCTACGAGCGCGGGTTCACGATCAACGCGCTCGGCCTCGAGCTCTCCATGTCCACGACGCAGACGGCGGGGCGGCCCCTCATGGAGGACGAGGTCGAGCTGCGCCAGGTCTGGCTCGGCCTCGTCTTCCTGACGCTCGCGGACGTCGGCCACCCGTCCGCGGCGGCGCGCAAATGCGGCGAGTCGGTGCCCGAGGACGTCCGCGACAACTTCGAGCGCTTCGTGGGCGACGTCGTCGCCGCGAAGAGGAACGGCTTCACGCTCGAGACGCTCAAGCTCGAGGACCTCATCCGGCGCTCCGGGGAGGACGCGGAGCCCATGGGCCAGATGGAGCGCGCGATCCTCGGCCAGTCCATGCGCGTCGTCTACCTCACGCTCACGGTCCGCGACGAGGCCGCGGAGGCGGGCGACCTGCCGCCGCCGCGGAAGCCGGGGCCGAGCATCCCCGGGGTTTAAAGATGCGTCCGCGTTACAGCCCCGCGACCCAGCGCGCGACCGCGTCGACGACGGCGTCGAGCGCGGCGTCGTCGGCGAGCATCGTCCAGTGGGAGCCGGGCACGCGGGCCGCGGTCCGCCTCGGGAGCAGCGACGCCCGGTCGCCGCGGCGCGGGTCCTCCGAGTCCGCGGGGAGCGCGTCGAGCGCCGGCAGGTCGAGCGGCGCGCGGTCGGACCCGTAGTAAGAGACCAAAAGCTCCGTCGCGGCCGCGAAGTGGGCCGCGGCCGCCGGCGACGCGTCGCCGAGGTCCGCGGAGGCCACGACGGCGCCGGCGACGGGCGCGTCGAAGAGCGCGACGCCCGCGACGGCGTCCCCCAGGAGCCGCGCGGCCTCGACGGCGACGACGCCGCCGTAGGACCAGCCGCCGAGGACGAGAGGGGCGTCACCAGCCAAACTCTTCGTTTCGGCCGCGGCGGCGCGCGCGGCCTCGGCGATGGACGCGTGCGCCAGGGCCGGCGCGCGGCCCGCGACGACGCCGTCGTCGAGGCCGACGACGCGCGCGCCCCGCGAGGCGCCGCGCGAGGGCCCCGTAGCACAGCGCCGTCGCGCCCGCCGGGTTGAGGAGCACGAGCGTCGGCTTGCCCGCGGACCCGTCGCCGAGCGGCAGGGCCTCGTAGGTCGCCGCGGGCCCCGCGAAGCCCGCGGCGCCCGCGGCGGCCGCGCGCGCGGCGATCGATCGCGGCGTCGCGTGCTCGAGGAGGTCGCGGACGCCGAGCGTCGCGGACGTCGCCGCCGTGAGGAGCCGCAGGCATTTCAGCGCCGCGAGCGACGTGCCCCCCAGCACGCGGAAGAAGTGGCCCGTGGCGGCGCAGATCGCGGCCGCGTCGACGCCGGAGGCGGCCGCGAACGCGGCGACGGCCGCGCGCTCGAGCGCCGTCGCCGGCGGCTCCGGCGGTGCGGCCTCGTCGGCCGCGGCGACGGCCGCGCGGCGGCGCAGGGGCGGGAGCCGCGACCGGTCGACCTTGCCGTTGGGCGACAGCGGGAGCGCGGCGACCGCGCCGAACGCGCGGGGGACGGCGTACGTCGGCAGGCTCCTCGCGAGCGTCGCCCGGAGCGCCGCCTCGAGCTTGGCGTCGAGTCCGCCCGCCGTCCGCAGAACCACGTGGGCCTCGATGGCGCCGCCGCCGTCGACGACGGCGCAGGCCGCCGCGCGGACCTTCGGGTGCGCCGTCATCGCCGCCTCGATCTCGCCGAGCTCGACCCGAAAGCCCCGGACCTTGGCCTGGCCGTCCTCGCGCCCCAGGATCTCCAGCACCCAGTCGCCACCGGACAAACGCATGCGCCCGAGGTCGCCCGTGCGGAAGAAGCGCCGGCCGTCGCGCGCGCGCGTCCGCAGCGACCGCTTGTTTTTCTCGTCGTCGCCGCGGTAGCCCGTCATCACGCCGACGCCGCCGATGTGGATGACGCCGACGACGTAGGGCGGCAGGGGCTCGAGCGTCGCGTCGCTCAGGATACACATGGTCTGGTTCGACATGGGCCGGCCGTAGGGCCAGCCGCCCCAGCCCGCCGGGAGGCGGCCCGGCCGCTCCACCGGGAACTCGTTGGACCAGATCGCGGCCTCCGTCGCGCCGCCCATGAGCACGACCCGCACCGTCGGCGACCGGTCGTAGGCCCGCGCCGGCAGGCCCGCGGGGACGACGTCGCCCGAGAGGAACGCGACGCGCAGCGCGCGCGGCAGCGTCCCGTCGCGCAGCTCGAGGCCCGACACCGCCAGATCCAGCAGCGCGGGCACGCTGTTCCAGACCGTCACGCCCGCGCGGTCGCAGAGCCGCAGCCAGGCGTCCGGGTCCGGCGGCGACAGGTCCGCCGCGCGCGGCAGCGCGAGCGCCGCGCCGCAGAGCGCGCTCCCGAAGACGTCGAAGACCGAGAGGTCGAACGCGAGGCTCGCCAGACCCAGCAGCACGTCGCGGTCCCCTAAACCCCAGCGCGCGCGCAGGTCCTCGATGGTGTTGAGCGCGCCGCGGTGGTGGCAGACGACGCCCTTGGGCAGGCCCGTGGAGCCCGACGTGTAGATCACGTACGCCGCGTCTTCGGGTTTCGCGCGCGCGGGCGCGGCCCGCGCCGCCCCGCGCGGCGGCCAGGCCGTCTCCGGCTCGTCGCGCTCGAAGTCCGTCACCGTCACGGCCGGCGCGCCGCCGAGGTCCGCCGGCGCGGCGCCGTCGACGAGGCACACGGCCGCGCCGGACCGGGAGACGACGGCGCGGACGCGGCCCGCGGGCCAGAGCGCCGCGTCGCAGGGCACGTAGGCGCCGGCCTCGAAGAGGATGGCGTGGACGGCGACGACCTGGCGCCAGCCCTTGGCCATGACGACGGCGCCGAGGAAGCCCGGCGCGAGGCCCAGGCCCCGCAGCAGCGACGCGCACGCGCGGCTCCGGCTGAGCACCTCCGCGAAGGAGAAGCGCCGCAGGGGCCGCGCCTCGTCGTCCTCGACGCAAAAAAGCGCTGTCTGCTCCGTGTCGCCGTCGCGGCGCTCCAGCGCGTCCTGGAGCAGCGTCCCCGCCGGCGGCTCGGGCGTAGCCGCGTACGGCGGCGCCGCGACCGGGTAGGCGCCGCTCAGCGCCGCGTCCGCGGCCGCCCAGACGTCGGCGTCCCAGTCGCCGCAGAGGGCCTCCCGGAGGAGGAAGGCGTAGGACCGCTTGAGCTCCGCGGCGACGGCGCCGGGGAACGCGCCGTCGACGACGTCCAGGGAGCAGAAGAGCGCGGGCTCGTCGCCCGCGGGCGCGCCCGGCGCGTCCTTGACGGCGTTGACGCAGGCCGTGTGGGGCACGCGCTCGCTGAAGAAGGTCTCCTCGAAGCACCAGTCCCGCGCCGCGTCCTCGGCCCGCGGCAGCGACTTCTCGACGCCGACGGGCGTCGTGAAGACGAACGGCGCCGCGGCCTCGAACGTCGACGCGCGCTCCCGGTTCAGGAGCGCCATGACCTCGACGCCGCTCATTGCGCTGTGCTCCAGCGACTCGGCGAGGGACGCGCGCAGCGCACCGCAGGCCTCGCCGAAGGTCCGCGCTTTTCGCAGGTCCACGTCGACGAGCACCGTCGACGAGCAGTTGCCGAGGCAGCGGAACGCGTCCTCGTCGACGTCGTAGCGCAGGCACAGGAGCACGTTCAGCAGGAAGCGCCGCCCGTTCGCTGACGCGTCCTCGACGTGGCGGCAGAGCGCGAGGCAGTACGTCGCTAGAAGCGCGACGGGCGCCGTGACGCCGCGCGCGCGGCACGCGGCCCGGCAGTCGGCCCAGGCCGCGCCGGACACCGTCGACGTCTGGTTCACGAAGGCCGGCGACGCCGGCGTATGGGCCTCGACGTCGGCGCGCCGCGGGATCGCCGGGCCGCGCCGCGGGAAGGCCGGGTCCTCGAGCTTCTTCGCCCAGCGCCTTTTCGCGAGAAGATACGCGCGCGACTCGGGAAGCCCGGCGACGAGGCTCCGGCTGTAGTCCCCGAAGGCGAGCGCGGGCGCCGGCGTCGGGAAGACGACGGCGCCGCCTTTCCGTAAACACTCGTAGGCGCCGGAGAGCTCCGCGCGGAACGTCAGATCGGAAACCGCGTCCATGAGGAAGAGGCTCATGGCCACGTGGGCCGTCGCGCGGCCGCCGTCGAAGGACGCGCCCACGGCGAAGAGGGGCCACTCGTGGACGGAGCCGATGGCGTCGCCGGCGCCGCGGAAGTCCTCCCGGAAGGCCCCGCGCGCCGCGCCGACGCGCACCGCGACGCGTCCGGCGAACGTCGCCGCGTCGCGCCAGGACCGCATGGCGCCGTCGGCGCCGACGTGGGCCCGCAGCGTGCCGTGGCGCGCGACGAGGGCGTCCCAGGCCGATGCGAAGGCGTCCACGTCCAGCCCGCCGGGGAAGTCCCACTCCCAGTAGATCTGCGGCGACACGGGCGACCCCGTCACCGACGACGCGTGCAACCCCACGAAATGGGCCGCGCCGACGCCGAAGAGCGGGTAGACGTCGTAGTCCCCGGCGCGCGCCGACCGCAGGAGCGGGAAGGGCCCCCGGGCGTGGGCGATGACCCCCGCGCCGCCGAGCACGTCGAGGTCGACCGCGCCGCCCGCGTCCGCGTCCGCGGCGCCGGCCGCGCCGCGGACCGTCGCGGCCGCGAAGAGCACGCGGAGGGACAGGGACCGCGGCGCGCCGAGGGCGACGGCCCGGGCGACGGCGCGCATGGCGCCGAGGGAGTCGAGGCCCAGCGCGAAGACGTTCGCGCGGACGTCGACGTCGCCGGCCGCGCCGCCGACCTCGGCCGCGACCGCGGCCGCGAGCGCCGCCTCCGTCGGCGTCGCGGCGGCCGGCGACGCGTCGTCGACCGCCGCGGCGTCCTCCTCGTCTTCCTCGTCGTCGTCGTCGTCGTCGTCGTCGTCGTCGCGCGCGGCCCGCGGCGCGGCCGCGAGGCGCACGAGCGCGACGGACGGGTCCGAGCCCGCGGACGCCGCGACGGCCTCGAGGACGCGCGCGAAGGCGCCCAGGAGCGGCCCCGGCGCCGCGGCGCCCTCGGAGACGACCGTGAGCACGTAGGCGCCGCCGGACCGCAGGCACCGCAAAGAGACGTCGACGCCCGCGCGGTCCTCCAGCGCGCCCCCGGACAGCAGCCCGCCCGCGGACGTCCAGGTGTCCTCGCCCCCCTGGTAGTCGAAGAGGACGTCGAGGGGCCGGCACAGCGTCGAGGCCGCCGCCTTGGCGGCGACGCGGCGGAGCGCCGCGAGGTTTTCCATGGAAGCGCGCGCGACGTCCCCCATCGTGCCCCGCACGTCGAGGCGCGTCGGCAGCGAAACCAGCGCGGGCCCGACGCAGTGGCGGCCGAAGTCGCGGCAGGCCACCGTCGCGCCGTAGGCGACGTCGTCGCCGCCGAGCGCGATCGCAAAGGACGCGTGGACGAGCGCCGCCGGCGGCACCCCGAGCGTCGACGCCGCCGCGTCGACGGCGCCGGCGACGGGGAGCGTCGTCGTTTTGCGCCGGGGTTTGGCGCGGCGCCGCCGCGGCGGTGCGGCGCCGGCGACCCAGCCGACGGCCGCCTCGTGGGCCGCGACGGCCAGAGGGTCCGCGGCGGCGAGCGCGCTCGCCGCGTACGCGGCCCAGGCGTCGACCTTCGGCGGCGGCGCGCCGGCGTAGGCCGCGGCGACGTCCTCGAGGAGGAGCTTCGTCGACGCGCCGTCGGTGACGAGGTGGTGGATCGCGACGACGCAGCGGCCGCCCGCGAGGCCCGCGCGGACGAGCGGCGCGCGGCCGCCGTCGAGCGCGGCCGCGACGCCCGCGGCGCCCGCCGCCGCGAGGGCCTCCTCGGTGTCGTCCTCGAGGAAGACGGCGTCGGCGTCGACGGCGTCGTGGACCGTCATCGTCGGCGCGGCGTCGCCGCCGAAGTCGAACGTCGAACGCAACGCGTCGCGGCGCGCGACCACCTCCCGCCACGCGCGGCGCCAGTCGTCCACACGCACGGTTTCCGCGACGTCGAAGCGGAAGACCTCGACGAAGTGGCGGCCGCCGGGGTCGCTGAGGTGGTGGAAGAGCATGCCGTGCTGCGCCGCGGTCGCGGCGAACGTCTTTTGAGGGGCCGCGACCTCCGGCGCCGCGAGCCCCTCGACGGCCGCGACGAGGCCCGGCAGCGTGGCGTGGTCGAGGAGGAGCGTCGTCGGCACGGTCCGGCCCAGCGCCTCCTCGAGGGTCGCCGCGAACTCCGCGCACGCGAGCGAGTCGGGCGCGAGCGCGGCCAGCGGCGGCAGCGCGCCCTCGACGCGGCACGCCCGGGCGAGCGCGGCGCGCACGGCGCCCTCCACGGTCGTCGTGGCGTCGGCGACGGCGGGGAGGCGCAGGACGTCCGTCGCCGGGCGGCGCGCCGCGGCGACGTCCGACGGGCACTTCGCGGCCCACGAGACGCACGCGACGGACACCTTGAAGCCCGCCCCGAAGGCGCAGAGCACGACGCGGTCCCCCGCCCGCAGATCGTCGGCGACGTTGGCGAGGAGGATCGCCGTCGACGCGGCGCCGCAGTTGGCGACGGCGCTCACGTGGCACGGGCACTGGTCCCGCCGCAGGCCCAGCGCCGCCGCGACCTCCTCGAGGATCCGCGCGTTCGCCTGGTGGAAGACGAATCTGGCCACGCCCGCGACGTCCCAGCCCGCGTCGTCCAGCGCCGCGCGCACGGCCGCGGGCGCGCGCCGCGTCGCGAGCGCGTAGACGGCCTTGCCGTCCATGCGCAGGGGTCCGCCGGCCGCGAGCGCGAGCGCGTCGCTCGCGTCCGTGGCGGCATACGTCGCGCGGAAGGCGCCCGTCGGCGACGCCGCGACGACGGCGGCGCCCGCGCCGTCGCCGAAGAGCACCGCCGTCGACCGGTCGCGCGCGTCGCAGCGGCCGCTCAGCGCGTCGCCGGCGACGACGACGCACCGCGTCGCGGCGCCGCCGCCGACGAGCGCGCGCGCGACGCCCAGCGCGTCGACGAAGCCGCAGCAGGCGCTGCGCACGTCGAGGCCGCCGCAGCCCGGCGCCGCGAGGCCCCGGGCCGCGAGCGCCGCGCCGACGGCCGCCGCGTCGCCGAAGTCGCTCGCGGGCGTCGTCGTCGCCACGACCACGAAGTCGACGCCGCCGCCCGCGGCGCCGGCGGCGCGCGCCGCGGCGTCGACGCAGAGCTCGAGGAAGGACTCGTCGGCGCCGAGGACGAAGCGCTGGCGGATGCCCGTGCGCGACGCGATCCACGCATCGGACGTGTCCAGCGTCTGTGCGAGGTCGTCGTTCGTGACGCAGGTCGCCGGGAGCGCCGCGGCGACGCTGACGATGGCCGCCATCGTGCTTGGTTTTGTGTACACACTGACGAAGACAGTGGGGGTTTCGACCAATTAGGGAGCTCTGGCTTTGGATGGAGTGGGGGCAGCATTCGTTCACCCGCGGGTGCAACACGCTCACTTTCAGACGTTTAAATTTGGCGCGCTTGAGATTCGTGCCGAGCCCGAAAACAAACCACGAAGAACCCCGAAGGAAGTGGACACGCCACGGTACGTGCGCGCGACGCCGGCCCTCGCGCGAGACCTTCCTCCCGCGCGCGCCCTTCGATCCCGCGCGCGCGTGTGGCTCGATATGACGTTTGATGCCCGCCTTGCTGAGCCGCTCGTCGATCTCGCAACGAACCGTATCTTCCCAAACAGCAACATCAAGTTGCAGTTCACTGAAGATGAAGGTAGAAACCTCTCTATCTCTCTACTCCCCCTGGATTGAAACTCCGTGTAAATCCCAAATGATAATAGACCCGGGCCGTGACTTCGACTTCATCGTACAGAAGAGCGCTATGCACTCTGTGCCTGCTTGGCAGTCACTCCTTCAGTTCGCTGTCTATAAGACTTGAAACTGGATTAGAATGAATTAGGAAGGGAAGGGAAAACTAGCAGGATACGCAGTAGGAGCGCAGTGGGGTTAAAGTGCACTGCAACATCAAGATGCAGTTCACTGAAGATGAAGGTAGAAATCTCTCTATCTCTCTACCAGCATCATCAAGCGAACGGAAAGAGCTCCGTTTGAGAACGACAAACAACAAGTCTTCCCTGGCCCCGACGCCACCAAAGGCAGCCCCGAGTTGCCGGGCGTCCAAACGACCGGTTCCCCCCACGCCCGCGCGCCGCACGCTGCCCCCCCGTCGACCCCGACCGCCTCCCGCCACCCACCGCCATCGAAACACCATGAGCTCCCGCTCGTCTTCGCCCATGCAGCTCTACGACGACGACGACCGGTCGTCGCAGACGTCCGTGAGCTCCATGAAGCGCAACCTGTCGCGCCTCGACTCGTGGGTGTCCCTGTCCCAGACGCCGAACAACCGGCGGCGGCCGAACCCCGACGACGAGGCCGCGCCGGCGCCGGTCGCGGCCGCGCCGGCCGCGCGGCGGCCGCCGTCGCTCGCGCGGCCGCCCTTCCCGAGCGAGTGCGGCTGGGGCCACTACTACGCGCCGAGCTTCGACGGGGACGACGAGCCCCTGTCTCCCGAGATCTTCGCGCGCTCCGGCTTCCACAGCCGGCCCTTCGCGCGGCCGCCGCGGTAAAAAAAAGAAAATCGGACGATCGAATAGGCGCGCCCCCCTACGCGGGGCGCGCGAAGGGGCTCGCGTGGGCCCCGTGGATGGCGCGGCGCCCCCGGCTCCGCTGGCCGCGCGTCGCCCAGAAGGGCCGCACGAGCGCGACGTCCGCGAAGGCGCGGAGGAGCGTGTCGTTGTAGCAGCTCAGGCGGGAAAAGTCCTCGAAATGGCGCCCGAAGAGCGCGACCGTCAGGTTCGTGCGCCGGAAGAGGGTCACGGCGAAGTAGCGCGCCGCCCAGTTGCCCTGGGCCACCGCGGCGCCCTCGAACCACGTGCCCCAGCGCACGCAGGAGAAAAAGTCGGACTTCGCGCAGCGCACGCCCTCGAGGTGCTTGCCCAGGGCGCAGCCCCGGGGCACCTTGACGCCCTGGCCCGCGTTGCCCGTCGTCAGCGTCTCGTAGAAGTTCTCGTGGTACCGCGGGTCGCGCGGCGCGTCGCAGAGCCCGACGGCCGCGCAGAGGCACGGGTAGACGCGCTGGGGCCGCAGGGCGTCGGCGAAGCGCGCGACCTGCTTCTTCGTCGCCACGTCGCGCGTGCCCGCCAGGAAGCGGCCGAAGTCGCGCGCGAGCGCCGGCGGCTCGTCGAACGCGTCGACGACGACGGCGACGGACGGCGGCGCGCACTCGAGCCCCCGGTAGCCCATGGACTGGACGGACGTCATCACCGGCAGACCGTGGTCCAGGGCCTCGTAGATGACGCGCGGGTTGCGGTCGATGGTCGCGAGGTGGAGCAGGCCCCGCGCGGCCGTCAGGTTGTGCTTCACGCTCCGCGCGGGGACGCGCGACTCGTAGAAATCCAGCATGGCGTCCGGCGCGCCCGCGCTCCGCGCCGCGGCGATGGCGTCGACCAAACGCCCCGCCTCCATGCGCCGGTCCAGGGGCCGGTTCGTGTCGTTCGCGTCGAGCGAGTACTCGAGGAAGAAGCGGAACGTCTTCGAGTCGTACGCCGCGAGCTCCTCCGCGACGTTGTTCAAAAAGTCCGCCTGGCCCTTGCCCCGGTCGAGGCGCGCGATGTACAGCAGCAGGTCCCGCTCGTCGGCGATGGGGTGGAGCTCGAGGCGGTCCGCCATCGGGATCTTCGCGCCCCAGCTCGACCTGGGCAGCAAAAGAGAGATTCAACGTCGCTTCAATGTGAGTGTTCCGCGCGCGCGCGTTCCGGAAAACACATCCATGCTTCGAGACCGTTCGGAGAGATGATCGCTCGTCCAAAAATCAGCCGAAACGAGTGGAAAATGGCCGAGATCGGAGCCTTTGAAGTTGGGAATTTCGCTCTCTTTTGCTGCCCCAGCTCGACGGCGGCGACGGCATCTTCGGCAGGTGGTAGTCGTTGAGCACGTGCCACTCGGAGCCGCCGCCGGCGGAGAAGATGCGCCCCCGCTCCCAGACGCCCCAGCTCGGGTCGCTGTTCTGCACCATGGGCAGCCAGAGCTTGACCGTCCGCGGCCCGAAGTTCATCTGCTTCAGGTAGGGCACGACGCCGTGGAACCCGTCGAGCGTCAGGTCCTCGTCGAGCGTGCAGATCGCGCCGCCCGCCGTGGCTCGCAACGCATAAGTCACGTTCGCCTTGGTCATCTTGTCCCGGCCGCCGAGGACGACGCCGCCGCAGCGAAAGTACGCGCTGTTGCCGCCGCCGACGACGACGCCCACGGCCACGTCGCGCTTCGCGACCTCGGCGCAGTCCACCGTGCTCAGCGTCGAGCACTCCGTGCAGACGCCGTTGTGGCCGTGCACGACGAAGACGTCCAGGCCCGTCATCGCGCCCAAACACTGCGGCAGCGACTCGCGCCAGTCGACGCGCCGCCCGATGCACATGGGCGTGCCCGTGAAGGTCTGCATGCGGAAGACGATGGCCTCGCGGCGCTTCACCATCTCGCGGCCCCGGGCCGTCAGGTTCGCCGGGGCGCACTCCATGAGCTTCCGCGGCGCGCCCTGGGTCCGCCCCGCCGGCAGGTCGCAGAGCGGGCCGCAGATGGAGTCCGCGGGCCGCCAGCAGAGGGCCGCGAGGCCCAGGAGCGCCCGGGCCATCCGCGGCGACGCGTTAGCGGGACCGGCCAGCGCGAGCAGCAGCCATCGTCGTCATTCCATCGTCCATCGCGTTTTTTTGAGGTCTGTTTGAGGCTCAAGCTGCACAGCTGGTGCCTCGGCTTGAGCTGTGGTGAGCGCTCTGAACGTTCTCGCGCGTGACATTGTCGCGCCGCACGCGTGCCGCAGCGGTCCTAAGACGACGCGATGCGCCGCTTCGGACTGCTCTGCTGGCTCGCGGCGCGCTGCGCGACGGCGAGACAGCAGCTCCTGCCGCACCGCATCGTCCAGAACATCGCGCTCCAACCGCTGCGTTTCACGGCGCGCGTGCGCGGACACGGGCGCGTCGAAGGGCTCGTCGTCCTCGACGCCGACGGCAGCTGCGAGCTCCTCGTCGAAGGCGCGCGCCCGCGTCCCGTCGCCGCGTCGCGCGCCGGCCGCCGCGCGCCGCGCGCTCCTCCGCCGACCCTATCGCCTCTAGGCTTCGCGATCGTCGGCTCCTGGACCATGCTGCCCGCGGGCCACGAGATCCTCGACCGGCTCTGGGACACGATCCGGCTCGAGGCGGCGGTCGGCGACGAGGTTTTCGAGTGCACGGCGAAGCTCTACGCGCGACATCCCCACCGCCGGGCCCTGACCTCGCACGGCACCGTGCTCGGCGGTGGACGCCGCTTCTTCCGGCCCGTCGTCGCCAGCTTCTCGCTGGCCCCCTTTGAGCCGCCGGACTAACGCGCGACGGCGACGGACTTTTCTTCCTCTTGGGTTGCTTCGTCCGTTTGCCGGGGTCGCGTGCGTTGTCGGCGTTCGCTCGCGAGCCGCTGGGCGACCGTGCCGCCGGTCGACGCGCGCCGCGACGCGTGCGGGGACGCCGCGCGCCGGGGCTAGGCGACCAGCGTCGAAGGCGTTCGAGAGTCACACCGACCGGCACAAGAGGCACAACTCGAACGCGACCAGGTGCGCCGACCCGCTTTCGCTCCCGGCGGCGGGGCACCGCTGCTGCACGACCCGCGCGGCCGCAAACACCCGGGGCGCGCGTCGCGCAATCCCCCGACGCCGCCCGTCCCGCGCCTAGGTCCGACGATGCCCATCGCGACGCTCTTCGACGACAAGAAGGAGGAGAAGGAGGACGAGGATGGCGGCGGCAACGAGCTCTACACGGGCGGGAACCACAACCGGGGCGGCGGCGGCAGCGGCCTCGCCGTCGTGGGCCCCGGCGACGACGACGGCGACGGCGGCGGCGACGACGTGTCGAAGATGTTCGCGGCCGCGCAGCGCAACGCGGCGAGCGGCGTGGCGCCCGCCGAGGGCGCGGCGAAGACGGTGGTGACGGTCTACGCCAACGGCTTCACCGTCGGCGACGGGCCCTTCCGGCCGAGCGACGGCGACGCCGCGAACGCCGCGTTCCTCCGCGACGTGTCCCGGGGCCTCATCCCCCGGGAGCTCGAGGAGCAGGCGAGCGGCGACGGCGCCTTCAACCTCGAGCTCGTCGACAAGCGCGGCGACCAGTACGAGCCGCCGGCCTACGTCGCGTTCTCCGGCGGGGGGCAGACGCTCGCGGCGGCGGGCGAATCCGCGGGCGCGGAGTTCGGCGGCGGCGGCGGCGGCGCGCCCATCGAGAAGCCCGTCGTCGACGACGCCGCGCCCAAGACGACGCTCCAGATCCGCCTCGCCAACGGCAAGCGCATCCGCGCGACGCTGAACCTCTCGCACACCGTCGGCCACCTCGACGCGTACGTCCGCGAAGAGGGCGGCGCGGGCCAGGCCTACGTCCTCCTCGCGGGCTTCCCGCCCGCGCCCCTCGCCGACCCCAACGCGACCCTCGAGGCCGCCGGGCTCAAGGGCGCGTCCGTCACCCAGAAGCTCAAGTGAGCGCGCGCGCGGCCGCCGCGCGGGACGCCGCGCTAACCAACACGTCTCTCGATATGGTTTACGACGCCCGGTCCGCCCCGAGGTAGAAATAGGGCTCGAAGGTCGCCGCGGCCTCGTCGGGCTTCTCGCCCGCGGGCGTGAATTGCGCCATTTCCCGCTGCCACCGCGCGTTGACCGGCTCGCGGGCCATCCTCGCGCAGCAGTCCTCGAACGTGGCGCCGCCGTCCGCCTCGAAGTAGCCGACGGCGCGGCCGTCGCGGCGCAGGAAGAGCGAGTAGTTGCGCCAGCCGCACCGCGTTAGCGCGTCCTGCATCTCGGGCCAGACGGCCTCGTGGCGCTTCGCGTACTCGTCGAGGCGATCGGGATCGAAGCGCATCTCGAAGCAGACGCGCCGGCGGCCCGCGGCGGTCAGGCCCCGACCGCCGGTGTAGCGCTGGGGCGTCGGTGGCGTCCGCGGCCGCCGCCGCAGGGCAGCCCAGAGCGCAGCTGCTGCCCCGACGCCGCAGGCCACGCCGCAGAGGAAGCTCCTCGGGCTCTCCATATTTACGCTCGTCTGTGACGAAAGAAGCGACCACTCGGCGAAAGAAGCGACTAGGTGAGAATAAAGCTGCCCAGAAGCGACCACTCGGCGAAAGAGCTAGGCGAGAAAGAGGCTGCCCATAAGTAAGCGAGGAAGCCTCGCTGAGGCCAAACTTGACGCACGAGAGCGCAAGCCATCCCTCGGGCAGCCTCACGCGCTGTCTTCTCCCCGCGGGCATGGCGCAGAACGTGTACCTCGACGACTGGGCGATCCTGGGCGTGCCGCCGGGCAGCGACCAGGACGCCATCCGCAAGGCCTACCGGAAGCAGGCCCTGCTGCACCATCCGGACAAGGGCGGCGATCCGGCCAAGTTCCGCCAGGTCGCCGAGGCCTACGTGGCGCTCAGCGAGGCGTCGGGCGCGGCGACGCCGCGGTCGACGCGCACGGACTACGCGACGGCCGACCCCTACGAGATCTTCGCGCGCTTCTTCGGCGCCGCGCCCGCGTCCGGACCGCCGCGCGGCGCCGCGCCGGGACCGCCGCGACCGCAGGCCGCGAGCACAACGGCGTGTCCTTCGCGACGGTCGACGAGATCAACAACGACGAGGACGCCGCCCTCTTCGGGTGCGTCGCCCCGCGCCCTCGGCTTTCGCGGAACCCGCGGCCCGCAGGCACCCGCTCATCAACCACGTGTCCCCGGAGAACCTCTTTTCGCCCGGCGTCCACGGGCCTGGCTGGGAGCCCTACGGCGAGGAGACGAAGGACCCGGACCGGGCGGCCGCGTCCCCCTGGGCCGACATGCTCAACGCGGACGGCGTCGGCCCGGGCTCGAGCGCCGCGTGGGAGGAGCGGCGGAGCCGCCTCGTCGGGTCTTCCACGCCGCGCGCCACGCCCGCCCCCGCCCCGGAGGCGGGGAGCCTCGAGGCCGCCTGGCAGAAGGCGCGCGGGGGCGCGGAGGGGTCGTAAAGTTTAATGTAAAGAACTGTTCAAGTTGTAGTGCAACTTGTGACTTCCATATATATATGCGTGAGTTGTGCGCGGGGGTTCCCCCGCCGTACGAAAATTAAATGGCTGTCGTCGCGCGAGCGGTGCAGAGGGAAGCATTGACACGGGAATGAGTGGCTCAGCTCGCGCGAGCGCGCCCGAAGGGCGCGCTCCACTGTGAAACACCGGATTTTTTCAGGAGCTGCGCGCGCGGGGAAGATGACCGAGTTTGAAGGGGCACCCCAGTTCGGGAAGTACGGGCTCGCGCCGAACTTAAAGGATCGCCAATAAAGGGGCGCCGACGACGGCGGGAAACATGCGAAGTTGAGGTTTCATGTTCCGGAACCATGTTCCGCTAAATTTCGAGGGCAGGCGTCGCCGGAACAGCGTCTGGGGGCTGCACCGGTACGCCGGAACGGCCGGAACGCGCCGGGAGTCGCGCGCTCCGGAACACAGCCTTCTGCCGGCGCACGCGCGCGGCGCGCGCCGGAACATGTCTGAGGAGTTCGTGCTGTCGGATTCGATCTCTGCGGCTGCGGTGTGCGCGTCCCGATTCGATTTTGGCAGCCCCGTATATATGCCGT